GTACAATGGCATAGCAATGCCCAAATGAAATTTAACCAGATTTCTTAGGTTTCAATTTTTGAATATTCCTTTTGCAATGTTGCAATGACAATTCTTTTTCTCGCTCATTTTACTATGAATAATTCTTAAACTCTTGTTTTATTAAAAATTCTAAGGCCAACTGCTCAATCAGTAATATTTTAATTTGTTTATTTTTAATTAAATATAAATTTAGTAACAATATGTACAACAACAAGTTCATAAAAATGATTACTCATCAATTAAATCATACTAACTTAATTTTTTTTAACAAAAAAAAATTGTTTAAAAGAAAAAGCTATTAAATTTTTATAAGACGTATAATAAACAATGACAGCGCAGAGGTTTAAATTTATTAGGAAACAAAAATCAATTCCCATTTAATATTCATTTAAGTTGCTAACAAATAATTCAAATATTTGAACAATTAATTTACGTGTGAACACCATCAACAACAAAAAATTATTAAGATAAAACTTATACATACATACTAGTCGTAATAATAATGAAAAAATAAAGAAGTGAGAGAGTAAAGTTGACAGACCATATGATACCCTACGTCAATCATTAGTATATTGAAAATATACTTTATGTTTTAAATTCAACATGGGTGTTTTATTACCGATGTTGAATTTTACCTTAATTCCGATATGTTTAAACAATTTATTGATGAAAATCTTAAGAGTATTATCATGTTGGATTTATATTGAGAGATTTATTTGTACCATCACAATTATGGACCTGGACGGCCACTTAATTAAGTGATTCTGGTGAGATCAATTTGTTTATACGTTATATACAAACTCACCTTATTAGGGTATAAAATGAAACCGATGATAACAGTTGAATTTTACAAATTATCAATAAATGATGGTTCAACTGAACAGTTGGCTGTTAGTTTGGATTGTTGCAAGAGATACATAAATCTCTAAATGGTAGCACAGTGTGGTACCCCCTAAAAATATTCACACATTTACATTATTGTTTACTGATATGCATACCAGGAGTATGAAGACTGAGTCACTTCAACATCAAAAATCGATACAAGTCATTCACATTAATTTATATTATATGGAAATATATGTATGTATAAATACTCATAAACTAGACATGTCAATATTGGATATTTGGTTGAATAAAGTCGATCTTAATTTCGATATAAAGGAACTGCATAAGATTATGAGGTGCTCTCTCTTGGATACGCTTCATGTATCCAAGAGATATCATCTTGCATTGACAAAGTTCTACAGTTAAAACAAAAAGTCTATTTTTTTAACTTTTTCAAATTAAGAAAAGTCGGGTTTTGAACTTTATTTAATATCGACTTTTTCGTATTTTTTCTTTTTAATTTTTGAGTTTTAACTTTTATCGACTTTCTTCACTACAATAAAAATTGTAAATTATTTAATTGATTTTTTCAGTCTTAGATTTTAGATTGTTTAAGATGTTATGTATTATTACAACTATTTCCGACTTTTTGACTTACAAAAATGGTCGACTTTGACTTTTTGTGATGTATAATCACATACTCCTGGTGTTATTCGACTCATGCTTACTCTATACAAATCAATGTGGTTCGTTATAAGTTCCCTTTGATATTCTAGCCCGATAGAAAGCATATGGGTTTGGCTGGTTGGCCAGTAGAGTGTGCAGTAGACAATTTTTTGTAGGTTTTAGAATATCACCCCTATCGCCAATCAACATTTCACGTGAAATATATGTATTCCATTTTCACCTTTTTCGATCACTAACTTTTTTGTCGTGAAAAAAATCCCTTTTTGTGAAATATGTTGATGGAATTTTGTAAACATTGAACAGCTGTTGCATACAAAATCAACTATTGTGAATGAATTGTTCACAACAAGTTCAATTTTTTCTTCGAGGGGAATGAAAATTTCAAGGGAACAAAAATTTCACCTCTATTGGCGATAGGGGTGTACATGTACCTCAAAATGCACTAAACGTTATTTTTTTCCAGCAATGGACACAAAAAAAGGAAATTTTTTAAACCCATTTCCAAAAAATTCAATAACCTTTTTATGACAATTTGTACGAATTCACAAATCCTTGCGCTTTGGGTTCCATTTTTCATCGCCAGTAAGAATTCGATGCAATTTTAACAAAATATGTGTATTGGTCTGAAATATTTGTTATTTCAAATTTTTAAATTTTATCCAAATGCAATCTAGACCAAGAATGTGGCAAATTTTGGTCCTAAGACAACGAAAATCCTTGGGGATAATCCATAAACTATTCTAAAGATAGAGAAAACTATTCTAAAGATAGAGTCATGACGTTCATTGAAAACTTTACATTTATAATTGTAATTAAATAACTCAGATCCACGTCTTAATATTAAGTATCTACACAGTCGATTTTATTTTTCAGTTACGAACAATGATCAACTTAATTTGTTTGCTTGAATGATCGAACATACCTAAAGATCTCTACTATGTACGTATGTGTGAGAGAGTTTAAATGTTTTGTTACTTTGTGTTAAAACCGTCACTATTTTATAGATTTATTTGTTTGTTTGTTTATCGACTCTTAATAAATATGTATCTACATTAGATGGTATTTATAAGGTGGAAAGTTGAGGAGCAATGGTACAAAATATAAAAAGAGTTTATTTACCATGATCATTTTCATAGAAATCATATTTTGTTTACTAATTTAGTTAAGTGATAATTTTAATAATATTTTTTTCTTGAATTTCCTAACAATACTCTTTTATTGTTAATTGTATGGGAATTTTTAAATCGATTTTGATTTATGAACAATTGTTATTTACTGAAGGTATTAGATATAAAATTGAATTTGCTGTGAACCATTTATTAATTTCTCATTTAAATATTCGAAATAGCATTAGTATGTGTTTGTGTGTGGTAATAGATGGGAATTTTTAATCGAATAATATAACTATCTGTTTTATTGTTAATTGTTTAATATATTTATGTTTAAAAATTACTACTATTGATTTTCATGGAAGGCTACTGAATACATTGAATATACATACATATATTTTAATAAGATCTAAGTAAAATAATTCTTATTTAAGAGAAAATAAATATTTAATAACCAAGGCAAGGATTTTTATGCACTAGGAAAATATGCACTAAAAATGTTGTCTTGTGAAATTTAAATAACATTTTAGACCATATGGTACCCTACACCAATTACGAATTTATTTAGAATATGATTTATTTTAAAGATTAGCGCATTTATGTAGAATTTGCTTTAATTCCTTTATATTTAAACAATTTTGGATGAACGATTTATTATCCGAAAGAGTGTTTATATATCTCTTTCACGTAAACGGGACACCGATTTTTTTACATTTTTCTCTATATATAGCGTAATTTTGAGTTCACAGCTACAGTAAACGGTTATTTCTAAAGAAAAATAAGTTATTTTTTTAGAATTTGATGTCACCACATGCTAAAAAGGATAATATCCTGCGATATCCTTCGAAAACACTTTTTCCATTTTTCATCAAAAAATTGTCAATACATATACGTCAAAATAAAGTGTGTGGTGAAGTCATATCCATAAAAAGTCTAGTGGTTTTGTTTTGTGCGTAAAAGGGATATAGAATCCTAATGAAATTAGTGAGAAGAAGTATGTTTCTATAACCTCTATTTATTTCGAATTTTATCGCGTGGTGTATTTTTAAGTGAATTATGGACGTTCTGAAGGATATTTTGTATGGGGGTTAGGGTTAGACAGATGTGTATGGAAGTCAAGTTATTTGTTTATAAGGACACACAGATGGACAGACTCAGAAAGTGATTCTAAGCCGATACTTTAAGGTGTGTATACAGAGGGAAAAGGAAATATACACGCCTGGTACCAAATTGACATCAAAGAGTTTATAATTTTTCAATAACATCCGTTGTCAAAGTTTATACATACATACGTACGACAGTCTATGGTGTCATCCAGTCCCCATACAAATGGACGAAAAATTGGGCGTTTGAGCTCATAATTATGTTAAATATACATATCTGCATCTCGAAAGAAAGCACAACAAAGTTATATAAGTAAGACCTCATCCCAAAATTACTCTAATATCAATTCACTTATAATCAATTATATAGCGATGAAATTCAGCATAAAAAATTGAATGTAAATAATAATAATTTTATTTTCAAAATTGAGGCGCAAAGCGTTTCACGCTTTTCAAACTTTTCGCGCTTTATAAGCTGCAAGTTACACACATCGCGTCATTGCGGTCTTTCTTTTATGTTTTTCACTGTTTTAAAAATCAAAATTGTAAGTTTTTTAATATTTTTATTCCATTGTTGAAGAAATTTATTTTATTTTAGTTTATTCTTATTCTACACAAAACAAAATACAACCCTAGATTAGCGAAGCGTCAAAAGTTGAAAGTTGCTGAACTTATCGTGGCAGACGCCTTACAAACTACAGTGTGTAACTTGTTAAATGAAAATACACTATATCAACTTTTTTGACAGAAGCCTATAACGCGCTGCCGCGTACAACGCATGTTGTGTACTTCCACCTTCACGAATTAATGTTATTTTGTTCGAATCTTCTTCGCCAGAATAAAATAAATAAATTCCAATTAAAAATGTATAAAAGAGTATTTTTAGATTTTATTCATTCACAACTCACTTCAAATTTATTTTTAAAATTGTAATTTTTACTTTATTTTGCTTGATTTTTAATTGATTAATTCTTCTTCGCATAGCGAAGTACTTTTCAAGACACATTTGACATATTTTAAAGATTGTTGTATAAAATTCTTGAAATTAAAAAATCGCGTAATTCAAGGCTTAACTGTATTTGGTTTTACGAAAATATTATTTTCGATTAGGTAGAAAACAAAATTTTAAAATTAAGTGCTAATATAAATATAAAATAAATCAAAATTTGGAATAAACATTTTTTTGATTCACCAAAAATAATTTAATATAAATTTAATAACTTGCGACGGAAGTTTTAACGAACTTAGAACTTACCATATCATCTCCAAGCTCCGAATCACGTTCATTTAAATTTGAACGCCCGGTGCAGTCCATGGTATTTAGTTGCATTAGGTGCAGAATTTTGATAGATTTATGTTAAATTATTCTTGTAAAAATAAACAAATTGGAAATTTTGAAATTCTCACACTCAATCACTTATTGACGCAATTATTATTGATGCCGCCAAACAATAGACAAAAGTATGTGCCGTACAAACAAACAAACGAACAAAATCAAATACAATTTGTATTGATCGTAACTGATATCGTAAATATATAAATGAGCGGCCGGCAGTGGCAGAGGAGAGGGGAACAGAGGTCAGTGGTGATGGATCTGTTGGCAGAGTAAACCGTTAGGCATTATGAAAACTTATATATTTTTTAATAAGAATAACACGTTAAAAAACAAATTAAATAAGATCCAAAGGGGTTTTTGTTTATTTTTCTTGTTCTTAAGTTTTATTGAGGTTTTCTTTCTCTTTTCGTCTTTTTGAAATACCGTCGGAATAAGGCGAAACAAGCAAATTGTATTTAATAATGTTGTATGAACTTTATTTTGTTGTTAATTTTTAATTTATTATTACCAATATGTACTTGTTTACACTAAAGTTGTTTTTTTTTTTTCTTCTAAAATATAGGTACACCTATTTGTTTTAATTGTTACATAGCAATAATTGTAATAATTATTATTTTTTTTTGAACTTTCACTGGTTGTTTTATATTTACACTACTTTATTATTATCTTTCAATTATTTATACGTTTCCGATTAAATTTATAGCATTATTTTATTTTACATATAATTTGTGGGTTTATTTATGGTTATAATTTTTTTGGATTATAATAAAAACAAAATTCTTTTAATCAATTCCGTACAAAACGACGCCGTTGCATGGACGACGACGATCACAAACCGAATGAGAAATAGAAGCAGACTGCAAATGAAACTAAAAAAAAAACGAACAAAAAGGCAAAAACAATTGGTTGGAATGAGAAGGGGAAAACAAGAATTTTAATTCGATTCGAATTGGAATCAAATAGAGAAATGAAACACACACATTCATTCATTCACACTCTTCTTATTCTCCTTCTAATCGGATTGGTGTTAGTGAGTACTGCTGTGTTTTTGTTGTTTAATTTTATTTTTTTAAGGTGGATGACGATTGAATTAGCGCACAAAAAGATACAAAAAATGTCGACAACTGAAAAGTTGAATAAAACTGAAAACAACAACAACAACGATAAATAACTGCTTTATATAAATTCCAATTGGATTTCAGTTACTTATTTTTTTTGTTTCTGCTATTTGTCTTGGCCCATGAATAACGTGTTTCATCATTTCCATATCGTTTCATTTGGTTTTCTGTCAACGACACACTTCGTCTGTATCAGCAGTGTAACCGTTTCAGAATTTTTGCAGCTAAATTTAACGTTTTTAATTTTGATTTACCCTGCGGGTACACCTGTAAGTAACTTGTTACAAGTTGTAATTTATATCATAATCGTAAACTTTGATCAATTGAAATTATTAGAAAACAATTACTTTTGGTGCTAGATTAATTTTTTTGATTCCAAATTGCAACATGATGTGCTTTGTACTATTTTTCGGTTACAGACACTATTTTTTTAAACCTATTGTACCAAAACTGTATTTTTAGTTTTTTTGTCAATAGGTATAAAACAAAACTATTTCGAACCGACTTCTTCAGTTAAAATCATAATTTTAAATTATTATTTCAATAAGGGAGTACATCTAAAATTGTACAAAATGAGTCATTATACTTTTCAAGACCGAATTGTACCAAAAAAAGGACAATTGTACCAATTTTACTAAGCCTGCTATGTATGTAAAAGGTGGAGCATGTACTGTGTCCCTATTAGATTCTAAAACGATCTAGCAAAGTCTTTCCATCTGTCTTTAAAAATGCGATATGGGCCCACGGGAGGAGCTAGGGGACTGATATTTACCACAAATATTATCTATTGATAAGTTTTGCTGGTATTGAAAATAGCTAAAATCGATCCACATTTGACGCAGCTTCCCTTCAGAAAATAACTTTAACGTACATACATACATAAATAGCTTAAAATTATCGGTATAATGATGAAATTTGGTTTAAATAAAAAATAATCACCCCTATCGCCAATAGAAGTGAAATTTTTGTTCCCTTGAAATTTTCATTCCCTCGAAGGGAAAATTGCAATCGTGAACTTGTTGTGAACAATTCATTCACAATAGTTGATTTTGTATGCAACAGTTCATTGTTTACCAAATTCCATCAACAATTTTCACAACATGGGTATTTTTCACGTCAAAAAAGTTAGTGAACGAAAAAGGTGAAAAGGGAACATAAAAAGGAAATGTTGATTGGCGATAGGGGTGAATAATTCTGCAAAAATAATTTGTAGTTCATGTCGCAATTTTGAAGATAATTCGATGAAATTTGGTGGCGAAATCGGTCCATAAAAAAATAAAACCCTATAACTTTTGCATTTTTGAAGATAATTTAACAAAATTTGTTATATAATCTTTTGTTGTTAATTTTTTTAAAATAGTCCATTATTACCCATATCCACCATTCAATTGGACCTGTAAATATCGCTTTTGAGCTCATAATTCCATGGCTGGAAATCGTTTCAAAACTGTAATAAGGTATTTTGAATCATTTCGGTATTGATATTTTAATGTTTTCGGTATTTAGGCTTAATTCGGTAACGGTATCTTAGCTTGCCGATATTTTGACTTATTTGGTATATGGTATTTTAACGTTATTGGTACTTTGGTTTTCTTCGGTAACGGTATTTTAGTGGTAAAGGAACTAAGCTAGATTATAGACTAGAATATACATTTATTCTAGTATATAGTGTAGCCTACAGTCTAGTCTATAATCTATTATATATTCGAGTATAAAGACTATTCTATAGTCTAGTTTAGAGCATATAGTCTAGTATATAGTCTGTAGTGATGTTTTATCGCCAATCAAAATTTCACGTCAAATATGTTCTCTTTTCACTATTTTCGTTCACTAACTTTTTTGTCGTGAAAAAATCGCCTGTTGTGAAATTTGTTGATGGCAGTTTGTAAACATTGAACAGTTATTCCATACAAAATCAACTATTGTGAATTGTTCACAACAAGTTCACGATAGAAATTTTCCCTTCGAGGGGAATTAAAATGAATGAATATAAAAATTCCAAAACAAAGTCATGTGAGATATCTTAGTAACCACCTTGATCGCCGTTAAAGCCAAGGTTACACCACCACGGTTGCTCTATACTTGGAGTACAAAAGTGCTTTTGTATAAAACAGTAATAAAAGCGATATGGCTATTCGGTATTCAGCTATGGGGAACAGCGTTCTCAACTAATGTTGAAAAATTGCAAAGAAAGCAGTCATCACTGTTAAAGACAATAACAAGTGCCTCGTGGTACGTTTGCAATAGTAATATTCATAGGGATCTCAATGTCCCCATAGTACGTGAGGAGATCAAACTATTCCTTCGATTTTTTGAAAATAAATTTTCAAAATTTATTAATATTTCAAGCATTTTACACAATTTAAATAAGCTTAAAGTACATTATTTTTTAAAATTTTCAGTCGATTTCCGTTACGGCTTTCCGTAATCCGATTGGGCTAAAATTTTACACCAGTTAGTTTTAGACTCTAATGAACAAAATGAGACCCATCATATATATATTTTTTGGGCGCCTCTAATGTTTGTACATATGTATGTATGTATATGCATTTCGAAATAATATTTCTTAAACTAAATGTATTTTAGATGCATTTAAATATTTTGATCAGTAATGTATTGAAAGCTGTTTTAAATTCAGTTAAATGCATTAAATATTAATAAATTTAAAAAATTATCCGATACAGAAAGTTTAAAAAAATCGAAAAAAATAAATGCCCTTGACAAAATATATTTTTAATATTTTGCATAAAAATTCAAAGGTTCAATCAAGTTGGGACAAATGCAATTTTTCCGATAATCCCAAAAACAGGATTATCAAAAAGTCGAATTATCGATCTCTCTAGTCATAGGCGACTGAGAAGAATCGAAACACTAGATTTTACCAGATAATCAAATTATTTAGAAGTTGTAATGAAATTGCAGTAACAACTTTATTTACATAGGAGTACACAATTATATTACCGTTAATTATAATTTGTAATTACTTATAATATATGTATAACTAGCAAGGTTGGCAACCGTTACCGCTAAGCTATCGTTACCGCTAAAATACCTTATCAAAACTACTACCATTACCGCTAAAATGCCAATATCGAAATAACCCAAAATACCAATAACGCAAAAATAACAATACTACGATAACGCTAAAATATACATACATAATTACCGAAACATGTTGGAATATCGATACCGCAAAAATACTGATGCCATTATTCTACTAAAAAATGAAATTTCCAAACAGTAAATAAAACTTCACTTAATTAATATCGTTAAAAAATCACTACAGACTATATGCTCTAAACTAGACTATAGAATAGACTTTGTACTCGACTATATGATAGATTATAGACTGTAGGCTACACTATATACTAGAATAAATGTATATTCATTACAGACTATAGTAGTGATGGTGCCAACCTGGCTAGTTATATATATATTATAAGTAATTACTAATTATAATTAACGGTAATATAATTGTGTACTCCTATTTAACTAAAGTTGTTACTGCCAATGCAATTTCATTACAACTTCTAAATAATTTGATTATCTGGTAAAATCTAGTGTTTCCATTCTTCTCAGTCGTCTGATAATCCTGTTTTTGGTATTATCGGAAAAATTGCATTTGTCCCAACTTGATTGAACCTTTGAATTTTTATGCAAAATATTAAAAATATATTTTGTTACGGGCATTTATTTTTTCGATTTTTTTAAACGTTCTGTATCGGATAATTTTTTAAATTTATTAATATTTAATTCATTTAACTGAATTTAAAACAGCTTTCAATACATTACTGATCAAAACTGAGATGCAAATATTTAAATGCATCTAAAATACATTTAATTTAAGAAATATTATTTCGAAATGCATATATATACATATCTACAAACATTAGAGGCGCCCAAAAAATATAAATATTGTTTGGATGGTGTAAAATTTTAGCCCAATCGGATTACGGAAAGCCGTGCCGGAAATCGACTGAAAATTTTTAAAAATAATGTTCTTTATGCTTATTTAAATTATGTAAAATGATTAAAATATTAATAAATTTTGAAAATTTATTTTCAAAAAATCGAAAGAATAGTTTCATCTTCTCACGTATTATGGGGACATTGAGATCCTTATGAATATTTCTATTGTGAATGTACCATGAGGCACCTGTTATTGTCCTTAACAGTGATGACTGCTTTCTTTGCATTTTTCAACATTAGTTGAGAACGCTGTTAACCATAGCTGAATACCGAATAGCCATATCGGTTTTATTACTGAATTATACAAAAGCACTTTGTACTCCAAGTATAGAGCGGACCGTGGTGGTATAACCTTGTTTTGGAATTTTTATATTCATCCCTATCACCAATAGAATGGAAATTTTTGAAATTTTAATTCCCCTCGAAGGGAAAATTTCTATCGTGAATTTCTTGTGAACAATTCACAATAATTGATTTTGTATGGAATAACTGTTCAATGTTTACAAAATGCCATCAACAAATATCACAACAGGGGAATTTTTTTCACGACATATTTGACATGAAATGTTGATTGGTGATAGGTGTGATTATTTATCTTTATAGGAGGACTATTTTCTAGTCTTAAAGTGAATATAACGTGAGTACATTTTGTTGCATTGACTTTTATTTTCCCCTTGTCCAGCCATTTTTTAAATTCGACGATGTGAGATAGGAGTTGTTCAGAAGCTATTGAAGGGTTTTCATTTATGGTTAGAAA